GATACGACTGAGCAACTCACACTTTCACACTGTGCCTCAGTGCGTCCCCAAATTGCTGCTTCAGGGAACAGCCCCATTATATATATATACATATTTTTTAACAGAGAACATATACATTCGGAACAACTATAAGCTGAGATTCCCCATGACCGTATTTCCTGTTTCTTAAGATGCCAATATAAGGCCTCAGAAAGGCTTTGGATAACACAAATCCTCACAGTATTCTTATAATAGGGCAGAATTCACTGAATCTAACTGAGTCAGATGTGCTTTAAACATGAATGATAGCCATTATAGTCAGGTCCCCCAAATAAGCCCCAATCTCATCCAAGAAAGAGCAATCGCCCCAGCAAGTTTCCAGATGACCCCAGTGAAGTGTCCAGCACCCAGCCTCAGTGAGACACAGAGGAGCCTTCCCAGCCACTTTTCTAAAGAAGCCTGGGCAGGCCTGGACTCATTCTCGGCATTGGCCAATAAGTCTGGAACAGGGCCCCGTACCACATGAATTATCTTCATCCTGCCAACTGCTTCTTGGCTTTGAGCAGCTGTGGGAGCAGCTGGTTTTACAACACAGAGTGAGCCCTTGTTCTGAGGTAGGAGAGTTCTGTATTCTGTGAAAAACTTGTAAGTTTGGGTCTCTTTACAACTACCTTCATGAGCTTTACCCTGAAGATTTGATGTGTGGTTCTTGGCTATTCATGGATCTTGCAAAGAACCAAACAACCTATGATGGTTTTATCCAGAGGAGATCTTCCCACAACTATAAAAGTCACCTTTATCTAAGTCTTTGCCTCAATCTGAAAATGAAGAGTCGTAAGGCAAGACTTATCCCTGAACCAGTGTAACTAAAGATCAACCGTATTTCGGGAATGGTTGATGGAACACTAGAATTTACTCTTGCTTCCCCTGCCCCAATAAACCTGTAAAGGGATTTTTTTTTTAAAAGGCACAAAACTGCTAGGATAATAAGAATAGGAGAGAAGAGACAATTACAAAGTTTCAGAAGCTAGAAAGCAGACAGATCTGAAACTTAAATTTGCAGTGGAGAAAGCCAAGCCAGTTTACACCAGAGAATTCCCAAAAGGCCCTGGTGGCATTACTGGAAATGGACAACAGTGGGCACAATGAGCTAAAATAAAGAGGATCTGTCAAACTTCAAGAAATAGCTACATTCCTCAGACCAGGTATCTACTCTGTAAATTGAGCTGACTGCTCCTCTCCCATCTAAGCAAAAGATATATAAATATATTCCCTGAAAAGTATAAACTGTAAGTCTCCAAGTGAGAGGCCCAGCACAACTTGTGGGGGAGGGGTACTGCAATGAAAACCAGGATTGGGTGCACAGAGATATTCTCCCAAGCCATTTCCCTCTACTTGGTCCCCAGAAAGATGGCAGCAATGGCAAAGATGGCCCAGGCCTTACAGGAAGATCTCTGGGTGATGTGAACAGCCAAGGAGAAACTGACATGGCTGGTTCCCCAAGAAAAGGGCTACTGACAGCATCTTCAGTTAAACTATTTCCAACAAGCCCCACTCACGTATACCAGATTTCAATTAGCCTCATTCTCTCCCCACCCCCAGGCAATTCTTGAATACAGAAGACAGAGAGGGAAAACCTGACATTTAAGGAAAGATTCTAAAATGAAAGAGTCCAAAACAGAAAAGTCAACTTACATCACAAGAGGACAATCAGCAGAACTCAGATTATAGAAATTCTATAGGACCAATGTCCTAGTTTCTCCAACAAATAAATTGCACAGAAGAGGACAGAAGAAAATGGGGGGCCTACAGACTCAAAGAGACTTAAACCACAAACCAAACGTTTGTATGATATGGACCTTATTTGAGTATCGATGTGAACAATCCAATTGTTTTTTTAAAAATGAGATAATCAGAGCAATTTAAATATTGTTTCAATATTTGATGATATTAAGGAACTGTGGTTAAATTTTGGGGTATGACATATTATGGTTATGCTTTACAGCCCCTATATATTAGTGAAATACACTGAAGTATTTTTTAATGAAATGATGGCTTGGATCTGTTTCACAACAACCTGGGAAAGGGGCTGAGTAAACAAGCAGGGTCATGAGATAAAGGGAACAAGGGAAGCTTTCAGAATCTCTACCTGATGTTCGAAATTTTCCAAAATAGAGAAAAACGATCACTAGAATCCTCAGGGAAAATAATGAAATCATAAAACAGAAACAAAATATAAATATAAACAAAATATTAAAAAAGGGAAATTCAAAGAAGGTTTAAAACCTCCTGTAAATAAAAAATAAGAAGAAAAAAAACATTCAGTAAAGAGTTGGAGAAAAACTTGATGGCATATCCCAGAAAGTACATACACAAAAAAGTATACAAATTAAATAAAGAAAAGAATAAAAAGTTAGAGGGCTAGTCCAGAAGGTCTAAAATCTTGGTAACAGTTTTAGAAAGAGAGAAAAAGAGAAAGAGCAGGAAGAAATTCATCAAGACAAAAATGTAAGAAGATGTTCCAGAACTGAAGACCATGAATTTCTAAAAGAAAAGCTGTACCAGTTGCCTGAGACAATGGATGAAAAGAGATGCATAGCAAGACACATCATTGTGAAACTGCAGAACATTAGGAACAAAGCGATTTGGCAAGTTTCCAGGAAAGACAAAATAAAAACAAAAGCCCTGGCTATATATAAAAGATCTGGAATCAGAAGCATTTGTGACTTCATAACAGAAAGAAAGTAGGAAGGAATGAAGCAATGCCTTCCAAATTAGGAAGGAAAACGATGCCAATAGAGAGTTTGTATCTAGCCAAACTACCAATCAATGATGAAGGCAGAATAAAAATATTTTTCAGATATGAAGGTCTCAGAAATTTTATTTCTATTTACCCTTTCTCAGCAGCAAAAGCAAGGAAGTAAATCCAGAAACAGCAAGAAATGAAACTACAGGGAACAAAGGATCTGGCAGAGGAGAAAGGAGGAGGGGATTACCAGGATGGTGACAAAGAGAGATTCCAGAACAAAAGTCTACTCTCCAAGCATCCGGAGAAGGCACTGGCAGCCCACTCCGGTCCTCGTGCCTGGAAAATCCCATGGACGGAGGAGCCTGGTGGGCTGCAGTCCATGGGGTCGCTAAGAGTCCAACACGACTGAGCAAGTTCACTTTCACTTTTCACTTTCATGCACTCAGAAGGAAATGGCAACCCACTCCAGTGTTCTTGCCTGGAGAATCCCAGGGACGGGGGAGCCTGGTGGGCTGCTGTCTATGGGGTCGCAGAGCCGGACACGACTGAAGTGACTTAGCAGCAGCAGCTCCAAGCATCAGTTCCCTTATCTGTAAAACTGGGAACTGACAGTGGTACCCGCCTCATAGACTTGTCAGGACTCAGCATAAAACACTCTGAGTAGTTCCTGAATATACAGTATAAGCCACAAGAGTTTTCTCATTATCCTCATTAAAGAATTGACACTTTGTATGTTACAATAGCTAAAATGAAAGAAATCAATGTAAAACACTTACATCTGAACCAAACTTATTTCCAGCTTTGGAATAACTGAAAATTGTCACAGAACCATAGGGTTTTGGAGGTAAATAGGGTTGTGAGGTTTTTTTCTAGTGAAATTTTCTTGCTTCAAAGCATAGGGCATTCCAGCTCACAGTAGCTAAGACTGGACTACATAACCATTTAGAAGGAGAGACTAGCAGTCAGGAGTTTCATGTCAATGCACTGAAAATCACAAAGGCAGCTACTCAAACTCCGTCTATGGGATCTTCACAGGATCAGAGTTTCACATATACAAAAAAAAAAAAATCACCTTAGAAACATTTTGTTCAACTTCTGTCATTTTAAAACCTGGCACTTGGCTCAAGATATACATACACAGAAAGACCACCTAGGAAGATTCAGTCTGGGCAATAAAGAGAAGAAGGTTTCCTGAATCAGGCTGACAAAAGGAAGGCAATATATTAGATTCACTGCCCTACCCAGAGCTGCTCTGATTCTAGGAAGGACACCTCTAGTGCGTTTACACACAAAAGTAAGAATATTAATCCCTATAGCACAGCCTGGATGGGTATTTCTGATGCCTGAGTAATGCGATGGGTAGCAATGTACTTCTGTCATAGTTGTCTAAGTTTTTCTAAAGAAATAAATACAATATGCAGGGTTAGTAGTCTTTTCGGAACTGCTTCCAAAGAAATGATGGATACAATGAGGGCAACTGGGCAAACCCAATGAACAGTGGGAGTGTCATCAGGGGCAAAAAGGCAAGATCCCAGGAGAAGAGCATTTTGCACCAGTCTCATCAAGCAGAGCACCACTGATACTCCTCTGAGGTGCGAGAGGGGAATCAGACTGGGTAGGAATTTTCCTGGTATAAATGATGAATTCTATGATCTGCCATCTCATTCCAACTGAAATTAAGCCCTCTGTACATTTGCAGAAAGTCTTCTTCAACAGTTTGAGATGAACTTATTGTGAAAGAAAACTGTCCATTTTCTTTTCACTGAATCTCAGGGGGAAAGTACACCCTATTTTCTCATCTTTAAAACACTGAAAACTTCTGTGCTTCTTGAATATTTCTTACAAACAAAGTTGCAGTTACCTTTGGATATAGTTCATGTCCCACAGCAATTCAAATGCCAAAGTGGTGACTGGATGGATTAAATACCTCTTAATATTTTCACCATTTAGCTGAGATTTAAAGTGACAAGTCAAGAGTCCAAAAATACAAGTGCTATTTTCAAATCTTTTATCCTTTTCGCAAGTGCTTATTTTGGTATTTTTGATTAATAAAATGATCTTCTATTTTCTTAGGTATACAAACATTAGGGGCTTCTTGGAAAAAAACCATTCAAACAAACAATACAGAAGTATGCATTAACTTAGTCAAGCTAGTAAAACATAAAAAGAAATAAGAACCATTTAAAAATATTTCCAATGTCTTCTGGGTATGAACAGAAACATACAGAAAATGCAGTTTTTAAATGGAAAGTATGGCTGTGTCAACACTCACAGAAAAAGTAGGATTCCAGTGTTTGCCAGGGCGAAGGCGAGTCCTAAAATCCCACTGCCCATAATGGCGTTGCTTAGGTTAAAAACAGACATGCCCAAGGAGGTCGTTCCTGGAATCTGAACAGAGACACAGTCACACTAAACAAAACAGTCCTCCAGAAAGATCATCACTCCAAAGCCTTGAAAGCACTATCAGGAACAGGGAAATGAAACTCAAGTAATTCTTTCTTCGTGGTCTAGTTATTTTTTCAAATGGGTTTCAGGAGAGAATACACAGGCTCCGAGGAATGTCTTGGTGAGTAAATAGCTATGCTTTTGGTACTATGCTGGATGAATTAAAAACATATGTTGCAATTATCATAATTTAAAAAATAAGCAAACTTTATTAAAATGACACTTACATAGTCATCACATTTCTTTTTTTCCAAGTGGCTGTTCGTGAGACTTCTTCTACTTTCACGATCAGAAATAAACTTGCTGTAAAGAGAGGCATAATGATTTAATTTCATTATAATGACTTGGGGCTTAACATCATGACTGAATGATTTATTATTTACCAAAACATCATGCATGAAAAGTTATCAATCAGTTATCTAAGAGTTTATCGTCCTATCCAACTGCTCTCACTAGCTTGTTTGTTTTTCTTTGGTCAGGATTGTTCTTGTTGTTCAATCACTAAGTTGTGTCCCATTCTTTGTGACCCCATAGACTGTAGCACACTAGGCTTCCCTGTCTTTCACCATCTCCTGGAGTTTGCTCAAACTCATACCCACTGAGTTGGTAATGCCATCCAACCATCTCATCCTCTGTTGTTCCCTTCTCCTCTTGCCCACAATCTTTCCCAGCATCAAAGTCTTTTCCAATGAGTCAGCTCTATGCATCAGGTGGCCAAAGTATTGGAGCTTCAGCTTCAGCATCAGTCCTTCCAATGAATATTTGGGCTTGATTTCCTTTTGGACTGACTGGCTTGGTCTCTTTGCTGTCAGGGACACTCAAGAGTCTTCTCCAGCACCCCAACTCAAAAGCATTAATTCTTCAATGCTCAGCCTTCTTTATGGTCCAACTTTCACATCCGTATATGACTACTGGAAAAACCACAGCTTTGACATTATGGACCTTTGTTGGTAACGTGATGTCTCTGCTTTTTAATACGCTGTCTAGATTTGTCACAGCTTTTCTTCCAAGGAGCAAGCGTCTTTTAATTTCATGGCTGCTTTTAATTTTTGTCAGGATTAGTTGCTCACATTCTTGTTTTACCTAATAAACTAAAAGTGCTCCAAGAGCAGACACTTTGCCTCATTCCTTTTTACATCCCTCACTCTACTTAGTACCAAACAATGCAAACAGTAGATGCTCATCTTTAGAGGAAACAAAAGACAACTCTAAGTCAAAAAGAGTTATAAATTTGGGGTAATTTTAATACCAATAAATTAAAACACTATATGCAATGCAAGTTAACTTTTGTATAGATTTTTCTCTAATGGAACATTACATAGTGTCAAAAATACTATAAAGCTGGCATTTAAAAAGAACACTGGAGACAGGTCTCTTTATAAGCTCACATTCTTGGAGTACAAAGCTATTACACAGGAATTCCCTCCTCTCACCCCTGCAAAAATGGAAAATAACTCTTTCCCCATGAAACATTACTTTAGCACCTGCTTATATACAGGCAATGTGGGAGGCGTGGAGATGTGTCGTAAGTGACGTAGACACTAGCCCATAGGAGTTCAGATGAGGAAATTATGGTAGAGGAGGAGGGGCATATGGTCCATGGTCAGAGGCAGAGTTAGGGCTTAAAGGGATTCAGAACTTGAGTTCAATCCTCACTTGTTCTGAGGGCATGAGTATGCTACCCCAGTTTCCTCATCTGTGAAATGGGAATGACACTATTGCATTATCTCACAGTGTTACTGGGACAGTTAGATGAAAGCACATGTAAAATATCAGTACAGCTCCAGGCACAAAATGAAAGGAACACTTTCTGAATCTGGGGAAGATTCAGACAGGCTGAGTAGAGTCAAGTATATACAAAACATACAGAAGGAGGTAATCAGAATGCTCTAAGGACCAGCAAATATATTATTGGGATTAACATTAGAACTTTTTGGCTTAAATTTCTAATTTAAAAAATTTCCCATTAAAAAAAGAAGTGCTATTGTCAAGGAAAAGTTCATCCATAAGTAAACTGCTACATGTAATAGTAAAACATGTTAGGAATTCTTTTTGGCTTTTCTGGAAATTTAATTATCTGGTTTTACTAAGAACTAATCCATGAATTTTTCACTAATAAATATAAAGACACTTGAACTAGACTATTATAAAGAAGCATGTATTTTTGAACTATACATTTTCAGATGCTTTTCTGAATGAAGCTGTATTTCACAATAAACCATTTTTTAATGAAAGATATATATCATAAATGTTGGTTTTATTTATCTACCTCTTTCATCTTGAGGTTTGCTTCAAACCATATTCTTCAGGTTTCCTTTTTTCACCTGGATAAACCAAAGGCAAGCAACATACAAACTATGACCCTCCCCCGAGGCCACCGCCTGCTCTGAGCAACACAATCTGTGGTTTATTTCCTTCAGCATCTGCATTTGCCGAGGACCTATCTGGTGGCTGTCAGAAATGAAGAGGAAGTGAGGAAAACCTTGGTCTCCTGAAACACAGGAGGTGCTGTTCCAGTTGAGGAGCATTTCCTGTAGCCCTGTACGGATGTGAGACCATAAAGAAGGCCGAGCGCCGAAGAACTGATGCTTTCAAATTGTGGTGTTGGAGAAGACCCTTGAGAGTCCCTTGGACAGCAAGGAGATCAAACCAGTTCATTGGAAGGACTGATGCTGAAGCTGAAGCTCCAATACTTTGGTAACCTGATGCAAAGAGCCAACTCATGGGAAAAGACCCTGATACTGGGAAAGATTGAGGGCAGGAGAAGGGGGAGGCAGAGGGTGAGAATGCTGTATGGCATCAACTGACTCAATGGACATGAGTTTGAGTCAACTCTGAGAGTAAAGGACAGGGAAGCCTAGCGCGCTGCAGTCCATGGGTCACAAAGAGTTGGACACGACTTAGTGACTGAACGACAACAACGGACCAAAACACCAGAACAGGAACATCAGACCATGCAAAACGGAGATGAGATAAGGGAGCCAGAAAAGGAAAAACCATTACTGGGTGGGATTAGCCAGAGGAATCTTAAAGGCTGAGGTCTGGGAAAAAGCATGGCAGGGTCTCAGCAAGAGAATGACATAAAGAAAGCCACCTCTCTGGAGACCCACCTGACAGTACTCTAACCTTGGCCCTGCTTTTACCCTTGGCCCTTCTTTTACCCTTAACATTTTAAATCTTTCCACAGAACTGCGGTTTACAGATCTGGCTGGAGAGGGACAAGGGAGAGCAGCCTTCCTTTTCATCCTGGCAGCCCAAGGAAACGGGGGTGCTGGACTTGCCAAAATGAAATGGACTCATATTGAGTGCTGCTGTTAAATAAAAGACTGCATGCAATCAGATTAATTTTAACAACCAACTTAAGTCTGCCAAATCATTATCCAGAAGGTCCCGTTTGCCTTTCTTGTGGAGGGACTTACTTTCCAAAGAGAATTTTCACTATTTTTAAATAAAGGGGAAAATCCCCAACATTTTCAAATCAACTAAACCAAACACCAATAAGCCTCCTGTTATGGCAGGCCTAAGCTCCTGGCCTGCCCGTGCACCCCAGACTTGGGGCAGAAAGCTGACAGAGAGAAACGGATCAAGGCACCAGGATGCAGGGGCATTCCGCAGGGTCAGAGGCTGCAGCGGAAGGGGAGGAAGAAGAGGCCCCTGCATGCCTGCTAGCTCTCTGCTGCAACGCTTCCACAGGAGGAAAATAATGCATGGGACTTGCAGAGCTGTTGTGATGAGGAACCATGAAGAAGCTTATTAAAACACATTGTGCCTCAAGTGCCTCCCGATTCTGCCTCTTTCTGTCTACTTCATGCAGCCAAGCTTAATAGGTTCTCCCAAAAATCTTTACTAGCGCTCCTACTGAAAAAGTTTTCAGTATAAATTGCTTGGCCTGCAAATTCCAGCTACTGCAGAATTTGATTTGGCCTCGCTGTTCAATCTTAGCTTCCCCTGCTTTTCTGAATGGTCTTCCCAAGAGGCCGTGAGGATGGAGATAGGACCAGGGCATTCGGAGAATAGAGACTGAAGAACAGTACCACTAGGAATGCACTCTCCCCTCGAGACCCTCCATCCTCCTCTAAGCCAGTGTTTTCCTCTCTGGTTCATGACTCTCATCCTCCATGTGTGTGCTGGATACTCTAGATTGAATGGACTTTTCTGACTCTGACCCACATTACGATTTTTCTGTGGCACCAACCGTGGCAGTACTAATCTTGCATTCAGAGTGGTGGTGTCATGTTCTCACTCCTTCTTCCATGTACCTGCCCCTCTCATTAGCAACTCAGAAAAACCCTCCATAAACCTAAGGCTCCTCTTCCATTGAGGAACTAGACTGACTTAGGCTATAGGGAAATCTTGCTCGGAAAAAATGAAGTACTCGAAGCAAGTCTCTGTATTTTCTTTACGGTGTTTCCACATTTTCTTCTTTTTTATTTTTCAATCTTTGCTTTGTATTGCTGAAAACTTAAACACACATATACATAACAAAAACAATCTTTTTATGATGGAAAAGTCCATTTATAATAACTAGGTCAGCAGCTTATCACAAGTTTCCGTTATCTCACCATTTTAAAAATGCAATTGCCTGTTAAAAAAGCACTGACCTCTGGCAAAGACCTCTTTATTGACTTAAAAATGGGCTATTGGAGAAGGTGTCTTTGACATGTGGTCTCAGGATGATAAGAGTATTATTAAGAAAGAGTTTTCGCTGGGTCGGTCTGTACCCATAAAGCAGAATTCGATCAACTCTTAGGTAGGCAACTGTTCTGTGGACAAAACAAAACAAAAATCTACAGTGGCTGTCATGCTGACCTTCAACAGACAAAGCCTTAAAAAAGGATGTAGGCATTATACTGAGGTATGTGAAGGAGGCAAGCAATATAGAGCAGTTATTTAAAACCAAAAATAAACCAACAACAATCCAATTAAGGATGGGTTGTACAATGGGAAAATAATCTTCCTATTTTAATCTCCACCAATCAGGTTCTTACTACATTACAGTGTTTCACTGGAGGATTTATAACACAAAAGAGATGAATAGCTGAACTTAAATAACCTTTCCTAGTTGTCCCCCGAAACACCACCTTCTATACGAACGAAAGAGAAAAGGGGGGAAAAGCACGTATGAAAGAGGCTGAAAAACATGAAAGAATTAAAGAAACAGCAGGTATTTGAAGAGAATACTGAGAGGTGAACAAAGCCTTATTTGGTGGATAAACTCTACTGAAAATAGGAGAAAACAGAATCCTGTTGCAGCAGGCATGATTAAAGCCAGGGAAGAATTTTCCAACATGAAAACTGAATATAAGAAGAAGTTATGGCCTCTTCTTTCCAAAGGTACAGAAAAGACACTAGAAGAAAAGAAGCGATAACTTTTCAAGAGTCCTCCCAACGATACAAACGTAGTTCATCAACTCTGAAAGGCAAGGGACCAAGTGAAAAAAGGCTGATCCAAGTGTGTAGTGACAAGAGTTTCTCATTAAGGAAAATCTTAAGGAGAGACTCTCAGCTTTTGTTACAAGCTTCCTGGGTCATAACAACAATAACTATACATGGAGATGAGAACAACAGTATATAAATATTAAAATATGTGACTATTTGCCTGGATACAGTTAATATCATCTATGAACATTTCAACAACTTTAGGATAACAATAACCAACAATCACCCAAACCTAAAACGGTTTTGTCAGTCCTTGGTTGGAGAAGTAAGATGTGCTTGCCAAAGAAAGAGGTCTGTACTTTTGTTAGAGACTTTCCCATATCTTGCCAGACCCTGTGTCAAGTACTTTATATGAGTTTTCTCATCTCTTTTCACAATACTTAGCTCCATTTTAGAGAAATCAAGTCACTTGACTAAAGTTACATTACTAATAACTAACCCATTGAGCCAGGATTGAACTTAAGCCGGCGGATAGTACAGCTTGAGTCCTTAACCTACAAACAGCATTGCGTTTAATATTCTCCAGCAATCCCAGGAGGTCAGGTATTATTTTCATGCTTGTTATAGAGATGGAGCCAAGGTTCAAAGCACAAGATCACACAAGACCTATGGATAGAGCCAGCATTCAATACAAGTTGAAATTCAAACCATGTACTTAACAGCTCACTCTCTCTCTTTCATTTAACAAATACTTTGAGATGTTTGCCCTGTACCGGGCACCATTACAGTATCATAACAAGGTACAAGAGATATAAAGACGGTTAAGATGGTTCCTCCTCTCCACAAGATCATATCTAGAGGAGTGTCTAGAGCTCCTTACTCAAAATGTGGTCCATGGACCAGTTGTAAGGGCATCACCTGGGAGCTTGCAGGAAGTCAGACTTTCAAGCCCAGTTCCAGAGCTGCTGAATCAGAATTTGCATGTTAACAAGTTCGCCAGGTGTCTCATATGCACATTAAAATGTCAGCAATACTGGTCCAGTGGACATTTCGAAAGGTTTTGCTGTTCCAGGGGTAGACGTCTATGACTGCAGGGCTTCTGCTGTCTGGCTCAGACAGTAAAGAACTCTCCTGTAATGCAGAGAACCCAGGTTCGATTCCTGAATAGGGAAGATCTCCTGGAGAAGGGAATGGCTACCCACTCCAGTACTCTTGCCTGAAGAATTCCATGGACAGTGGAGCCTGGAAGACCACAGTCCATGGGATCACAAGAGACTCGGGCACAATTTCTATGACTACAACCCCCAAAATCAGGGCATGAAATAAAACTGAACTGGAAGAAGGGCAGGAGTCCAAATACCCAAAGGGCTCTACTCTATTTTTAACTAAACTTTAAAAAATGCTTCTTAAAGTATCCTACAGGGAGAAGTTTCCAGGAAAGGCTACCAGTTGGATGCCAGGTAATCAGGGTTCAACATTTGCTTTCAACATTTTCTCTAGCTTTCTTACAAAGACGCACTGTTACCTAGAAGTTCACTGTTTTGGGAGAGGATTCTCTTAGATTCACATGATCAGGCCTACTTTCTTCCCACCAATGTGAAAAAGCTACCAGAAGAGTCAGAGGTACTCAGGTGTAGCTTTGCAGAAATCATGGGGGTGGGGGCTCTTTTCTGATGTTTATTTACCTTTTTGGCTTCATGCTATAATATGTTATTTTTAATTTTTATTGGTCTAGAGCCAGAAATGAAACAAGATTCATAAACCATGTCAACGAAAGAGGGGAGATAAATAAATGCATCACACTGCATCTGCAACAGTGGAATCAAATTCCAAAAAATACGAGGCTGTACAGCCCACACCTAGTAGGCAAGTGGGCTCCCTCGGCAGGCACCCAAAGGGGTGAGAAGCGGTGCCTTCTCTTATGGGCAAGGGGTTATTGCCTCCAAAACAATACTTTTTCATAGTAAAACTCTTAAAAGATCAAGTTCAGAGCCTGAGCTGAATATTATAAAAGACTCTCATTTAAAGTCGTTAAGGCTTACACTGATTTGGAAATGAAGTTGTTACAAACCCAAAATTTGCTACTTGTGAAACAGCTGATGGATGTCCCATCCATTGTTCAGTAATGCCTACAGGAAATCAGTAGTCAGGAAATCAGTAGTGACTACAGAACACCCCAGGAACCCAGAGCAGAAAACAGCACGAGTAGAGTTTGGCAGGGTTTAAACTGAGAGTAGGAACTATCCTTTTCATTCATGCTGGAGCATTTTAATCAGAGGTAGCAGAAGAGGGCAGAAAGACATGGATTTCTTACAGACCTGTATGTGCCCTTGAGCAAGTTATTTTATTTCTCTGAGCTTCCACGTTCTTATTGGTACACTGAATTTCTAAATTTCCTTATTTGCAAAACAATACATTGCATGATATTGTAAGGATTGTTATAAGGATATGTATAATATATAATCACAATTGGCACTCAAGAAATGGCAGTTATTCTTAATAATTACGCAGAAAAGGTGAAGGAAGCAAACTTGGGTCCAACAATAAGAAATATCACTGCACGGTAAATGATACTTGGATGGTAGTGAGGAAGTATTTGGGTTGGAGACTTAATCTCTGAGAACGTTTAAGGAAGAGAATAAAGAGGAAGGGGGGCTGAAACTTCTGAGTGTATGTAAATGAGGGCAGCCCAACCCTACCCCCGATTTTCAATTATGCATTGTATCAGAATGGAGGGTTTATTAGAAAGGATTGCTGCAGAGATGCCTGGTTAGCTGACAAAATGTTTTCATCCTCCTCCTTCCCAATTTCCTTTTGACCCTGCCCTCCCAAGTGCAGCATGGTCTATGTTCTCATAAGCAGTCCCCACATATTTCACTTTTCTCCCAGTCTTTTAGGAGGCCTCAACTCCAAACAAACCACGCATAAACACCCAAGCTGCAAAGCTTTCTGATAGGGATCTACATAAGCTGCCAGCAACATGGATGAACCTAGAGATAATCATACTAAGTGAAGTAAGTTGGGCAGAGAAAGATAAATGCCATATGATACCACTTACGTGTGGAATCCAAAAATGTGACACAAATGAACTTATCTATGAGATGCAAACAGACTCTCTGACATAGAGAACAGACTTGTGGTTGTCAATGGGAGGCGGGTGGGGGAGAGAAGGATTGGGAGTTTGGGGTTAGCAAGTGCAAATTACTATATATAGAATGGATAAACAATAAGGTCCTACTGTATAGCATAGGGAATTATCAATATATTCAATATCAATATATTCAATTTATCCTATGATAAACCATAAAAGACAACGATATGAAAAAGAATGTATATACATGTAAAACTGAATCACTGTTATACACTAGAAACTAACATAATATATAAATCAACTTCAATAAGTTAAAACACTTCAATAAGTTAAAAAAATAAAATCAGGTCAGATAATGCCCCGAATCATTAAAAAAAATATATATATATATACACACATATATATTTATGTTTAGTCCTACCCTTGTAACTTAAGAAACACATAACTCAAGGGTTGGAAGAACTTGTTGTGGTCACAGCTGAGGGTGAGAGCTGCCAGGCCAGCATTGTTCCTATCTGCCCCCTACCTCCCCTCACTCACAGTATCTCTTCATTTCTCTCTGTTTCACGTACTCTTTCTCTAGTTTCTCACAGAGGCATTTAGGTCTATGTTATTATTACTTAAAATCCATGTTACGAATGATGCTTGTAATGACGTATTTGTCGTTTCGACATGGGAACGCTGGCAAACGCGACTTTGACCGTTTCTTAATTAAAATGTGGGCGAAGCCAGATGACTATAGTACACACTCAGATATGGTGCGCAGCTAAATTCCAACAGTTGGTCTAATTCATAAGCATAAAGCTTTTGAAAAGTTAGGGCTGGTTGGGGTCCAATGTATTTATACATTTTTATTAGACTCAATTGAAAGATTCGAAAAGATGAATAAATTCCTTTCCTATTTGCTTCATCTGCTATTGCAGACTATGCCCAACAGATGTCACATATGAAATTCAAATTACATCTTCAAATGGAGCATAACTTTAGTAATGAATAATTCAAGAGAATAACTGAAAAACCAGAATAATATTTTAGAGACATTTCTTTCATTGGAGAGAAAGTGTCAGTGGAAAAATACTCACCTGTTTATCTGACCATTCTCTACTTCAGTGAAATCGTTAGAATCATTGCTAATGTTATCATCTTCAGGTACCGTCATGTTTTGCAACTCAGTTAATTCAAGTCCACTTTTGAAATGCATCATGTTTAGAAACTACCTGTCGTCAAAAACTGGGTCCAAATTCTCTTTTTCTGAGTGTATTTACAAATGGATAGCAGCAAAAATATCAGGTTGACACTCCTAAAACACAACACAAGGAAAAATAATTAAACACATAAATACCAAAGATTAAAAATAAACAATTTACACACAATTTACTGATAATGTAACTTTTACATTTTGTTACTGAATGTATTAAAGCAATCTTGGTACATCAATTTATAGACTGTAAATTTTATGTCTTTCATAAATCTCCCTACATTTTTAACTATAAAATGAGTCTTGTCCCATAATCTTTATGTTCATGTTTATACAAATACCAAGTCATCTTTAGACAACAGAGATGCCCTTTTATGAAGCAGTAAGTTTAAAAGGAAACCGATTCAGCTATTTTAATGCGTCAGACCACAGGGCACACACATAGCTGGGTACAGACTGAACAGACACAAAAGCACCTCTGATTTAGCAATTCAAGTTTAATAAAAATGCAAATCCTCAGTAAATGGCATCATGCAGGATCAACCACCCAACCTGGAGGTCAAGCAGCAAAGGACAAATCTGTGTTTTGAAATTTAGCAAACAGTTTATCCATCAACTGCAAGAGATTAAATCAATCTCTTCAATGAAATCACTCCATGTCAGGGAATTAGGGAATTAAAAACTCATACTCTGGGGATTTAGGTTAATCCACCTGAAACTATATTTCCTCACAGAAATGAAAGACTTGCCGAGTTCACATTTTCCCCCACACGGATGACTGTGATTTAAATTTCAAAGTGGTCACCATTAATATATTAAGAGTTTCAGGCTTCCCAGGTGCCTCAGTGGTAAAGAATCCATCTGCCAATGCAGAAGACACAGAGGATGAGAGTTCCATCCCTCAGTTGGGAAGATCCCCTGGAGGAGGAAATGGCAGCTCACTCCAATATTCTTGCCTGGGCAATTCCACGGACAGAGGAGCCTGGCAGGCTATAGTCCACAGGGTCACAAAGAGTCAGACACGAGTCAGGCTTAGCAACTGAGCACTATCACTACAGAGTTTCAGACACATGGCGTCAAAAATCAAAAAGCAGGTGGCCACAGAGGTGTGGTACTGTGATTTATCATAAAGTGAAAGTCACTCAGTCATGTCTGACTCGATAGTCCAAAGAGTCAGACATGACTGAGTGACTTTCACTTTCCCCTCTCCAGGAGATCTTCCCAACCCAGGGACTGAACTCAGGTCTCCCACATGGCAGGTGAATTCTTTACCAGCTGAGCCACAAGGGAAGCCCAAGAATACTGGAGTGGGTAGACTATCCCTTCTCCAGCGGATCTTCCCAACCCAGGTATCAAACCAGGGTCTCCTGCATTGCAGATGGATTCTTTACCAACTGAGCTATCAGGGAAGCCCCGATTTGTTATAAAGAATACATATTCGGTCTTCGTTCCTACTTCTGGCTCACAGCTCACCAAACCCTTAGAGCTCAGATAGTTAAAAATCTGCCTGCAATGAGGAAGATTCAGGTTCGATCCCGGGGTCAGGAAGATCTCCTGGAGAAGTGAATGGCAACCCATTCCAGTATTCTTGCCTGGAGAGTTAATGGACAAAGGAGCCTGGCGGGCTATAGCCCAGGCGGTTGCAGAGTTGGCCATGACGGAGCAACTTACACACACTGTAAGAGTGATAAAGGTCTTTTATTATGTTAATGAGACAACTCTGGGAAAGCACCTAAGGATTGGGACTGGCAGCCAGTGGAGTCAAACAGTTGATTAGAGGACTGTAATATTCAGTCCCATCCATGATTTCTGGGGAGAGAAGAGAACTTGAATCAATCACTCATGGCCAATGAGTTCAATGATGCCTATGTAATGATGCTGTGAAAAAAAATTAATAAAGGAGGTTCAAAGAGTATCCATACTAGGGGCCCAGAACTCCCCCACATCCTGGACCCCACACTCCACAAGGAGAGAAGCTCTTTTGTTGAGGACCTCGCCACTATACCCCTACATTTGGCTGTTGGTCTGTATCCTTTCGGGCTTCCCTGGTGGTTCAGCTGGTAAAAAATCCGCCTGCAATGTGGGAGACCTGGGTTTGATCCCTGGGTTGGGAAGATCCCCTGGAGAAGGGAAAGGCTACTCACTCCAGTACTCAGGCCTGGAGAATTCCATGGCTTGTATAGTCCATGGATCCATGGGTCCCAAGGAGTCAGACACCACTGAGTGACTTTCACTTTCACTTCAGTTGTATCCTTTGATATCCTTTGTAACAAATGGGTAATGTAGTGAGTAAACAGGTTTTCCTGAGTTCTATGAGCTGTTCTGGAAGATTAATGGAACCCAACGAGGAGGTCATGAAAACCTCTGACTTATGGCCAGTCAGGAGCACAGGTAACAACTCAGACTTGTGATGGTGTCTGAAGTGGAGGGCAGTCTCATGGGATGGAGACCTTGACCTGTAGAATCTCATTCTATCTACTGGTAGATAATGTCAGAATCGGGTCGACAATTGTTGGTATGGGGAAGCCTGCACACACGCACACCCATGCACATGCACATGTTAGTACTGAGTCCAGGAACCCTTTCAAGAGAGAAATGCAACTTCCAAAGTCAGGCCTGTAAAGGTATGGGAGCCTCACTTGGATAATCTCAGTGAGGTGACGGGGACCAAGGGATGAAGCAGAATGTCATCACATTTTTTTTTTTTCACCTCCAATGGTAAACCCCCTTGGATGATGTTTTGATATTTTGTCTGACCCTGAATTCCACAACTGCAACCTAGTTAAGAGTGAAAACTCCAATGTGCCCATGTAAGCATCCTACAATACCCAGGAAGTATTTTGCTAACTGATAATATTTTCTGGACCCTCAGAAAAGTACCCTGGAATGATAATTCTTCAAGAATTTCTTTCTTCTCTCCCCAACAGCTGGGCCACACATTACTCCTTTTCATTCACAACACATTTAAAACGAGACTTCCCTGGTTCCAGGATCCTTTAAAGCTTCCACAAGATAAATACTAATACCTCAGGTTCTAGAGGGCTCGCCCTTTCTGCAGAGCAGGGCCTCTTCTGGAAACCAGGAAGCAGGGACAAGAGACCGAAGTCCCTTGAGCCCCTGATCTAAAGCCAGCCTGGCAGCTCGGAGCTGATTCCTCTAGCCAGGGTGGCAGTGCTGGAGCTTGGGCCATGACTAATCGTTCTTAGTGCCTTCACAGAGCGGCAGTGTCTACAGCCTGTCTTTTCTTTGCAAGAGCTGAAGTGCATTAAAAAGGCTAAAGCCCCCGCCACCCTTTGGCCCCCCTCTAAAGAAAGCCAAGCAAGTGGACTGGACTGGGTCATTCCTAGGAGTCTTGCCACCCTGGCTCTCACCTAAATGATGGCCTCAGAGGCTACTGAAGCGATCCTGCAGGGCTTCTAGAAAGTTCACTCAGTGGATGGAGTTTCAAATCTGGGCTAAGGAGTCCTTTTCTCTCCAAACTTGTAGGAAATAGGGTACTAGACAAATAATTTCTAAGGAGAGGAAAAAGTGACTAACAACAGATTTGGGTCTACCGTTTGTATTCAAACTTTTATATTAATATACATGTGTGTATACAAATATATACTATGTACACACACACACACACACACGCGCGCGCGCGCGCGCACGAGCAATGGACAAAAAGAAAAGATGAAGTTCTGGCCACTAAAATGATGTCAGTATTAGGCAAATGCCAGTACTCAGTTAATCGCATAGGATACATTTATTTTTGCCTTTGGTTTAAAGAGAAATTTACTTTTTCACAGTTCCAGAAGTCCAAAATCAGGTGCTGCCAAGTTTGGTTTCTCCTGAGGCCTCTCTCCTTGCCTTACAGATGGCTGTCTTCTTGCTCTGTCCTCACATGGTTTTTTTGCCAGTCTCTCTTTTGTTTATGTAGTAATCTCCTATATATATATATTTTAGAAGAAATTTTTATTGTTGTGAAATAGCCTCTCTGAAATCTAACTTATTCTTGAAAACAAAAACTGGAAAAATGCGGAAAAGTAACAAAATTCGTGACATTTGTCACTAAAAAAGTTAAGGCCATACTGAGAAAATATTACCCATTCAATTTACTGTATATTTACTGAGTGCTAGGTGATGCAAGGATTTTAAAAGCTTGAAAAGGTCAAATTCAGAGATCTGAGGCAGTTTCACAGAAAAGCCACATTTGAACTGGCTCTTGAAAAAGGAAAAAAAAAAAAAGTCCTGGTTCTAGAGCTAATATATACCCATTGCAGAATCTTTAGAACAAACATTGTACAAGAAACCCAACACCCAAAATGGGCCACTGTTAAAAGTTTAATGTGCTTTTCTCCTTTTTCTTTTTCTTTCTTTCTTCCTTTTTAGCTGTCTTTTATTAACTTTGGAATTTTAGTGTTTTTAGTCTATTGTTTTTCATGTCATACTACATAGTACACATTTGAAGAATAGACATGTTTTTTTAAAAATATGTTAGTTCCATATTAATAAATAATATAAATGTAGAAAAATTAGAAAATACAAGCTTGCAAATGAAGGAAAAAACAAATAAAAAGAAAAAAATCACCTGTTATCTCAGCAAGCAGAGATGATCACTGTATATATATATTGGAGTACGAGCTCCAGGGGTTTTTGTATGCACACAGATATAGTGCCTGGCACACAGTAGACACTTGATAAGTATCTGTTAAATGAAAAGAATGAGTACAGATTTTTTAAAAATATGTATACATTTACAAAAATGGAAATCATACCATAGGGTTTTTAAGACTTTTTTTCACTTAACAAGATACAGTCTCCCATCCTGAGTCAAGTCCATAACATTGTTCTACATCATTACTGAAAATGCTCCTTCACCGCTTGACTGTGCCATGAATTGACATCCAGGCTGCGACGGCTGGCCAGTCGCAGTGGCTGGTGGACAGGAGAGGACAGGTGGAGACGGGCCCTAAGCTGAGACTTCTCAGTGAAGGGGAACGTGGCCAGAGACAGAGAGACAGGAA